AAAAACCTTCTCTGCAAATTTCCTGGTGATGACTCCCTTTCTTCAATTAATATTGTTCTCTCCTAATTAAATAATATATAATTTGTTAAATATAATTTTTGTACATACGATATACGTATATCAATTTATGAATTGATTAGCCAAATGGACTGAGTGTTTGTGCTCTGAACAACTTAATTAAAGAAATACGAGATCAGAAATATGATGAGAAGGCAAAGAAGGTGACAATTAAGGTGGTGAGCTGCTCGCCGGAGAAGATCAGGGACAAGTTATGCTGCAAGGGTTGTGGATGCATCAAGAGCATTGAGATCATAAGGCCGCCTCCACCTCCGCCTCCGCCTCCGCCTCCGCCTCCGACTGTGAATGTATCTGTAGATCTGCAAGTCCTATGCGTTCTGTGTTATGGGAGATCCGTTTGCAACAGCGGGTGCGGTTGTGGAGAAACTCAACCAGGCTGCTCAATCATGTAAATACTAATAATAAGACTGTGTTTGGTATCCAGCCAAGTTAAATCCTATAATAAGTAACTGTTGTTTTACAAATTAGATTTAGAATTTAATTATTTTGGAGATCAGTATTTAAAAAAATTAATTTTTATAAATTGCTTCTTACACTATTAAGCCCCTAGACTTTAATTTTTAAAATAAATTGCTGAAGAAGAAGGGCTTAATTGCTTTGACCCCAGAGTTTAAGGGCTTAACTGCATCAATTAAAATCTAGGGGCTTAATAGCGATTCTGGGATTAGTTCAGGGGCTTAACTTATGGTTTTACCAAAAATAAATAGTTGACACAATTTTTTGACTTGAAAGTCTACGAAAGATGATAAATCTCCTCCATTCATAATAAAGAGATGAATAGTTAATTAGATTTTGATAAACAATGTGTGTAAGTATATCCTAATTCATAACTAATTTATAATTTTATCAATTTAACCATTAATTATTAAAAACCTCACAATGTTATAGTTATAATATTATATAGAATTGTAAGTTTATAATTATAATATGTAAACCTATTGAAATTGGCTAAAGTGATTAATAGTCATTTAAATCATGTTGAAATTGTGGATTCGAATCTCTTTAATACTATTTGGGTGCAAAAAATATCAACATGGGTAATATCCACTGCTCTTAAAGGTGGAGTCTTAATATTTATAAAATTAGTCAAGTAAAAAATTTAAATACTAATGGTATTTGAAAAATATAAATATATATGTATATATATTGAAAATGACGATTGCAGGCAATGTTATGGCTACGTACACAAAGCTTTGATATAACTATACAGAATTTTGTAAATATGTTTATTTGTTTAATTTTATCGATGTGCAGGTGCTAATGAATTTGAAAGCGTTAGTTTATAGGTTGATTTTAAACTATATATTAAATAATAAATACCAATTGTTTTATCTATTGTGAATTAATATTTACAGTTATCAAACTTTTCTTATTAATTAAACCAAATACAATGTGGCCATAACCATGGCCTTAAATTGTTCTTCTATGTATTATTTTTGTGTGGCCTCAAAACTTCTTTTTGTGGTCATAACCATTGCCAATAGTTACTAATTATATATAGATACACATTGATGTTGGGGAGGTAGAAGCAACTCTATCATCAAAAGAAGCTATTGTTATCATAATTGTTGTCATGCAAGGGTGTGCCATCTACACATGACCCTAATGGTTTAAACTAAATCACCATCAAGTTTGATTTAATACTCACTATATAAGTAGTTCATTAGCAACTGGATTCATTTATTTTCCTAATGTTAGTTCATTGGCCTTGAATATTTTCAACAATAACGAGATTAATGCAGTGGTTAGGATTTTAATTAGCTTATAGGCAGGTGAAAGGAATTAGAGCCAGCACATACGAAGGAAAGGATTGGCATTGGAGACACAGCCATCAAAATTGACAATTAAAATTGACTCTTTTTAACCTGATGCTCTACCTTATAAATTATTGGAGATTGTTTTATGATAATTGAGTCCTTAAGTGAATAGTATAAACAGTTAATTTATATTTTTTTATGGTTATAAACTTATATATATATATCAAATCAATTTTAAATTTGAAATATATGTTTACATAAATAAATTAAATTCAACCATTGATTTTATAAATAATATAAATTGTACAAAAAAAATTATAAATAATTAATGTAAAAATCAATATGCGTTACATTGATCTAATTATATCTTAATCATTTTTTAATATTTTTCTTACTTAATAAAATTATCATGTCTTAAGAATTAGTCACAAAGAGAGACAGGATGCATTTACTTGGTTCCTATATGCCTTTTTATATTTGAAATTGTCCAAATAATATAAACTTTTTTTTTGAACATCAAATAATATAAACTTTAAAAATAAAATTTTGTAGAAAAAAAAATTAATGTACCATATTTAACATTTTTTCAAAGTTTAGGGGGCCTGATACTCCCTTGCCAACATTAAATCCCGTCCGCCGTCCGGACTGTCCCCGTCAACGTGGGATGCTCAATCATGTCAACAAGTCGTCGTCTGGTCTGCTTCATCATCTTTCCAAGCTACTGGACTCCGTACGTTGAATTAAATGCATGGATGATGCATGTTTTGTCTTTTCTCCATCCGGTAGAATTATGGTCAAGGATCAAAATGTAAATATTAAGATTATTAAAAATTATGGAATATTATTTTAAAAAATATTAAGTTAATTTAATTCAATTAATAAAAATGACTTATAATTATAATTATTAATTATTAATAGAGAAAATAATTAATATTTATTAATTAATAAATTAAAATTAATTATTTTTGTTTATTTTTAGTAGATCTAATTTTTTATTTAAAATTTATATCTTAAAAATTAAAAACTTAAACTAACTCTAATAAAATTGAACGGAGGGCATAATAAATTTATATTTTTAAATATTATTTAAAAAATTAAGAATTTTTATTTTCTACCCGTGGTATAACCACACCCTTCCCTATCAAGTACTACTCTTTTTTTTCCCTCTTAATTAAGAAAAAGAATTTGTTCAAATAATAATAATAATAATAATGGTAAGATCAGTTTTTTCGATGAATGATGCATGGTGCATGGGATAATTTTGTTTATCACCGCAAATTTGTTTTAGTTTTATTTTCTTATTTATAAATTGTAAGGATGCCTTTGGTTAAAATAAAGATCGTTTGTATTTTAATTTTTCTTCTTTATGTTTTCTAATTTATTAGTAGTATATGTATTTGGATTTTTTTTTATTGTATGGTTTGAACTATAAGATTAGAGATTATTTTTAATAAAATTTATATGTACTTTTTTCTATACATATTAATACTCCCTTTGTTAAATTTTGACAGGCTTAGTTTTGTTCTAATAAATTAAAGTAATAATTTATTGATAAAATTTTACATTTATTCTTAATTAATCACCACTTAAATAAGTTTTCATATTTAATATATGTTGTAAGAGAAAAGTAAAATTATGATGCCTAGACATTTCTTGTGAAATTATTCAAATATCTTTAATGAATCTTTTTGTGTATTGATTCATAAGAATATTTTAATTTTTTATTATTATTCTTGGTATTTTAATTAAAGGACGTCCTAATTTTTCCAATCTCAAATTTGAAATTATCTTTTTTAAAATAAGGATAAAATAAAAATAATTGTATTAAATGATATAATTAAAAAGAAAAGTAAATAACTAAATTTAAATCTCAAATTAAAAATTAAGTTTGCTAAAGTTGAACTAAAGGAATACTATTTTTTGGGATTGGATCAGAGGATAAGAGTATTACTTGGTTAATTTTCATGCATTTCAGAATTAATTCCTTTTCAGCTACTGTAAGGGTGCACCCTTACATTAGTCCAGTATATTTAAAAAACCTGATTTCTTTAAGTGCAGGTCATAAAATTAAAAGGGTTTTTCACCCCTTTTTGGTATTAATTATTATCAAAAAAATAAAAGTTGACATTTATTTAATTAATTGTCTAATTAAAATGATTAATGTGATATAAATGATGAAATTTATGTTAATTTTTATTATTTTTAAAACTAATTAATGAATAT